TTATTCAGATAATTTTATTTATATAGGACAAATTCACAACACATGTCAAGTTGTTGCACTTTCCTGAGACAATGAGGTCGAATCTAAGGAAAACCAGCTGATTGGAGCTTCAGGGAGAAAGTTGGGAAGATCTTCAGGCAGTGCAACCACCAGAGGACGTCCACCATCAACAAGAAGCCTAAGAAATCATTCTGGTTATGTGTTTACATTAGGCTGTCCTATGTCCTAGGAGCTCGTCCCCATTCTCACTTACCGCTGGTGAGTCTGACATAGTGGGAAAATCTTCTTTAGGAAAGTAAGTTTGTATGAGCGATGCAAACAGCAACTAAACAGAGCGTTCAGGAGGAGAAATAATAAACACGCTCTCAGACATGTTTAACAGGGTTGTATATGTGAGTGTTTTTGTTTGTTTTGTTAAGTGGTGAGATGTTTTCATATCCTGACTCCAGTTTTATATCTTTCTTTATCAGCTGCTGAACAGTTGATCAGTGAGACGATTGCTCAACAGTTCTAGAAGAATCCTCCAGAAATCAGGGGAAGAACATCATCTGGTTCCTCTAATTCAGCACAAACAGAAGCTAATATTGAAGAGGCTGGGGAATTTTTATTCTCCATCATTGCAGGAAAAAAGAGGATTTTCTTTAAGAATCAGAATTAGAGTCCAGTCAGAATAACGGGTGCGGTTCTGATCCAGTCCAGTGCAGATCATTGTTGTTTTTTTTTTACCTCCTGTTTATTTGTTGCTTCATTTTTGCAGGATGTGGTTTGATTCAGAAAAAGCCTTTTTTCGTAACTCACTCAGTGTTTATTGCTTCCAGAATAATCCAGTTATAACGCTGCTAAATAATTAAACACGATTAGTACATGTTTTATTTTCCCTGAAATAATGGATTAATATTAAGATAATGGGAGCAATCTACCAAGAGATGGCTTTGTGTAACAGTAATGGTTCTCTATAGTGTATATGCTGCTTTAATTTGATGTTTGCTGCACCCATCTGATGTGTCTTTGCTTCATTGTCATAAAGCTGTAACCCAAGACAGCTGTTGACTGCAGTTTGTCCACAGAACACAAACATTCGTACATTTAGCATCAGATATGCATGACTTCATCTGCTATTGTAGAAAATAAAGAAGAGAGAAGCTGCTATGTGTCCTGCTACTGTGTCCTCAGAAGACTAGCATGTTGAGCTTGTGTCAGATAAATACCTTGGTGCAGAGTCCTGCAGCGGGTCGGATCCCCGTATAAAACATACATCTATAGGTAGAAAGAAAAACCCTGATTATTATTTCACAGGTTTAAATGAACAAAATGCAGGTATCATAGAGTTACAGCATTAATGAAACTTTTTATTTAAAACTATTTATATTTATGTATTTATTAATTCTACATCTTACAAAATAAATAGATTCAAGAATGTCCAGGTAACATTATTGTAATGATGACGACATAAAGTTCAGTGAAACTGGGTTTTTATTCTGAAAACACGAGTTGCTTTTTTCTGAGGCTCAGGTTCCCATCAATCATTCCTTAAGCTTCCTGCCTACAACTCCCAGAACCCCCCATTCCCAGTCCTGGTGCACTGCTGCTGTTCTGTCAGATGGACTTACCCAGTCAGACCAGCATACCCACAGTCAATACTCATTTATCCATTTAACCCTCACCCAGTCTCATGTAGAAGGGCGCAGGAATTATGGCCACCATATTGGGGCGGTCGACCTGCTACTCAAACCTGCTGATTCAAGCTGAACACAATGATGCCTCAGCGCTGTGCGGCGTATTTTTGTTAAAATTGACGGACTATTGACGTCAGGGCTCGAGGGATAACATATCTTTACATATATCTTTATATATATCTTCATATATGTCTATGTGCTTCCCTCCCCTGTTACGTCAGCATTTCCAATATGGCTGTCTTTGATGTGGGCGGGGCTTGATGCCCCGCCTTCCCGCAGGCTGCAGCGGGATGCTTCTCCATTTATCCCTTTAGTTTTGTAAAAAAATTGACTTTAAACTACCTCAATGGGCATCTACCCATTTAGTCATGTGCAAAAAACTATTTAATTACTACCTTTTTGATGTTTTTCGAAGTGTATGGCGATCTAAACATTAATTGTTTATTTTGTACATGACCAAAGGGATACACTCCTATCGGGGTAAATTAAAGTCTATTTTTCTTACAAAACTAAAGGGCTAAATGGAAATCGAACGTCTTGGGCATTGATGATTATATATTAATTATAGGTATGCTGGTCTGACGGAGCAGCGGTGTCCCGCCCATGTGACTGACACCACCACACGTGAGTGGGAGTCAGCAGAAGCATAGAAACAGGCTATCCAAGTGAATATATTTAATGTTTGGAACTATAAATATACAGTCATTTGTTTATATTCCTTTTTTTTCTCTTTTTTTAAATGTTTTTATTTAGTTTGTTGTTTGTATTCTGTTTTTCAAGGCTGCGCTTAAAAAAAATGAAATTGTCTAGAGCTGTTTTTACCGAAATTTCTTTTTGTATACAGTCGTGTATACAAAATGACAAAATAAATCTTTCTAAGTCTAAGTCTAATTCTATGGGTAACAAGAACAGTATTAACTGGAACAAGATGAAGCCCTGAACAGAACTATAACACACGATCATTACAGGATTTATTCAAGCAAACCTTCTTACTTTGGCCAGTTTACAGCTGTTCATCTGTGAGCAGCCCTCTGGATGTGAGCCTGAGGGAATGTTCTTTTCTGCCTCTGGTATCATAAATGGCTGTGGCTGTTTTTTAACGTTAATTATTTACGGGTCTGTGCTGCACAAGCCGTGTTTTAGATCGCTGGCAACGTGTCGGGTCTTGGTTCTGATCTCTAAGGGTAACGGGTCAGGTCTTGGTTCTGAACTCTACGGGTAACGGGTCGGGTCTTGGTTCCGATCTCTACGGGTAACGGGTCGGGTCTTGGTTTCCGATCTCTACGGGTAACGGGTCGGGTCTTGNACGGGTAACGGGTCGGGTCTTGGTTCCGATCTCTACGGGTAACGGGTCGGGTCTTGGTTTCCGATCTCTACGGGTAACGGGTCGGGTCTTGGTTCTGAACTCTACGGGTAATGGGTCGGGTCTTGGTTCCGATCTCTATGGGTAACGGGTCGGGGTAACGGGTCGGGTCTTGGTTCCGAACTCAACGGGTAACGGGTCGGGTCTTGGTTCCGATCTCTACGGGTAACGGGTCGGGTCTTGGTTCTGATCTCTACGGGTAATGGGTCGGGTCTTGGTTCTGAGCTCTACGGGTAATGGGTCTGGTCTTGGTTCTGATCTCTACGGGTAATGGGTCGGTCTTGGTTCTGATCTCTACGGGTAANGGTCTTGGTTCTGATCTCTACGGGTAATGGGTCGGTCTTGGTTCTGATCTCTACGGGTGCGGGCGGATATAGTTATGATAAATCAGACCCATGCAGGACTCTGCTGCAGGTATTTTACTACATGAAAAGCAAAGTTTTAAAAATCAGAGCACGTGTATTTGTTCTAATGAAAGGAAGATTTTATGTATAATTTCTCTCTTTATTCAGAAACATCTCAGCCTGTCCTGTTGCTCTAAACACCGAAGGGGAAGCTCCTCATTTACATGTTATCGCTTCGTAAAGGTGAGATGAGGAGCGCAGCGATGCTATGAAAGGGGCTGCTAGCTATGCGAGTAGCACGATTATGGCGGTTCTAGCCCACCGACCCCTGCGATGGATGGATACGCAGCGACTGCTGCTGGAGGGGAGGAATCTGAACTTTTCAGGGTCTGGATGGGGCTGAGATACCGGAGCTGAAGCAGCAGGGATACAGCATCTGTAGCTGCTGTCTTGGAGGAGGATTCGTCCCCCAATGGGGGACAGCAGGTCTGCAAAGTGGATGCTGGATAGAGGGGAATACCGCCCAAAGCGTCCGTCATCCAAAGTAGACTTAGACAACTTTTATTGTTGTTTTGTACACAGAGTGGATCCAAAGCGAAATATGTTTAGTGCAGCTTTTCAGACAGTAAATGAACTTTTCCATTCCTTAAAGTTTAGCAGTTATTAAATGTAAACAGTGTGGGAGCGCTTAACATAGATGATCTGGAAGTTCAGAGAATCTGCAGCATTTTAGTTTGGTGTTATCCCTGTGATGCAGAGTCAACATTTCTCAACTTTCTCACCGCATGTCGACCTGTTTCAGCGTACTTCAGCGTACTCATAACTTATAAAAACCGTACCCATAACTTCTCCAACATATGCCAGCATTTTTGGCAGATTTTCAGGCGTACTCTGGTCTAAAAGGTGTAACAGGAGCTCCAGCTTTGGAATGACCTTCCTCTGCCGTTAGACTCGCCTCCACACTTTCCAAATTTAAATCTCTTCTTTAAACCCATTTCTTTTCCTTGGCTTTTAACACAACCTGAGATGTTGACTCTGTCTTACTATGTTTCTTTTATCATTTCATTTTTGTTTTTTATTTTATTACTACTTTTAAACCCCACTTTATCAATTGCTTTTATGATTTTTTTTTATGGTTGTGTATAGCATGTTGGTGTTGAAAGTGCTTTACAAATTAATTTTGTATGGTATCTGTCATCCGTTAATAAGAAATCCACTGGAATCATAATTAAACCATTAAAAGTAATGAACTGCAACCTTTTCATATTATCCTGTAACCTGTGCAGGGTGGAGCCAGAAACCAGCCTCACTGTAAAGTAGAAGATGGAGTGATTTTAATATAATTTTATTTCAAAGTAGAAATTAATTCCAGTTTCACAGATTTTCCAAACAAAAAAATCTTTTTTTTCTGTATAATTGAATTGTTCTGTATTTCCCGCCTTCAGCTGACATCAGTGGTCTAAAAATATCACCATGGTGATTTCTATGTGATCAGTGAAAGATGATTTCGTTTTTTTTAAAACAACATTACTTCGGTCTCCTAATGGCACCGATCTGCAGACACCTGGAGCCTCCACGAACCCAAAGGTTGGTTTCTGGTTCCAAGGAGAATAAAAATCAGGAAAGTGATTGAATCCGTTTCGTCTTTCTGATAAAACTGTTCCTCCCTTCCTTCACAACCTTCCTAATTTCTCTCTTGGCACTCTCGTTAATCAAACAGTAGATAATTGGATCCAGAGTGCTGTTCAGGGTCGTCGTGGCAACCGTGACCAGGTATGCGTCTCTGAACCTCTGGGCCCAGTCGCAGTTCCGTTGCTCGAGGACGACCCGGAGGAACATGACCATCTGGTAGGGCATGAAGGAAAGTATGTAGGTGAGCAGCAGGAACAGCAGCAGGAGTCCAACTTTTCTGCGCTCCTCTTCCAGGATGGAGGCGCTCTGTCTGAGGGAGCGCATAATCAACAGGTAGCAGACGGTCATGAGGACCACAGGAAACAGGAAACCCAGAACAACCCGAACCAGAGCAACATGGGCATACCTGTAAGTCATCGGCACATCCTGGTTGCACAGGACGTCGAAGGATTCCAGCTCCCCCACGTGGTGAAGCAGGGGAAGGTGGACCAAAATTTCCACAATCCAAACAAGGCTGCTGAAGGCTGCTGCAGCCTTTACCTCATGGACCCAGTGAAAGTGGAGCGGGTAGACCACTGCGAGGTAGCGGTCCACAGAGATGCAGCAGAGCAGGCCGGAGCCAACGTAGAAACTGTTGTACATGATTAAATACATCCCGCTGCAGACGGCGTCGGATATGCTCCACTGCAGGGCCAGTCCAATCCAGACAGGCAGCGTAACGGTGTAGAGCAGGTCTGAGACGGACAGGCTGACCAGGTAGACGGCCATGTTGTTCCCCTTAAGCATCAGCTTCCAGGCTATCAACAGAGACAAGCAGTTGGCTGGAAAGCCCACGATAAAGAATAAGGAGTAGAGGGTTGGATAAATCTGCTGCTCCACCCAAGAGTTGATGCTGCAGGAGTCGGTCTGGTTGAGCGTGGAGTTCATCCCGACACCAGAGAGTCGGATCCTGAATGAGACTCTGGCTGGAAAACTTTCTGCTGCTGGAAAAGTCTGATGCAAATCAGACTGGATGCGTTAAAAATAGCATCCGAGGTCATCAGATCTAAACATAAACACATCATACAATGACATGACAATGATTTCATGTTCATTTTTAAATAATTCTAGTGAAATTATTTAGTTTAACCTCAGAAAACGGCTCAATGATTATGTTGCAACTTCTCGGCTATTATTGGAAGCATTGGAATGTTTTATTATTTATGTTTTTAAAACATAAATTCATTAATTTATTTAACTAAGGCTTAGATACTTCGCTCTCGATCTGCAGTTTTACTGGTGGTTCCTAGAATTTCTAAAGGTAGAATGGGAGGCAGATCTTTTAGTTATCAGGCTCCTCTCCTGTGGAACCAACTACCAGTTTTAGTCCGTGAGGCAGACACCCTGTCTACTTTTAAGACTAGACTTAAAACTTTCCTTTTTGATAAAGCTTATAGTTAGAGTGGCTCAGGTTATCCTGAGCTATCTCTATAGTTATGCTGCTATAGGCTTAGACTGCTGGAGGACATAGGGACCCCTTTTTCATCATTCTGCTTCATTCTATCTCTATTCTCCCACTCTGCAGAATCTGTTAGTTCAAACCCTAAAATTCTGCTCTCTCTGCTTTTTCTCATAGTAGCTTCATCTGGTCTGTTCCTGTTTGGCTGTGACTCCATCCTGGAGAGAAATATCAGCTGTGCTGCTGCCATCAACACCTTTGTTTCTAGATGTTGGAGCTTGGCCTGTTTTGCAGTGTAGTCCTGTTTCTCTAACTGTGACTAACTGGATGTGCTCTCTTCATCCTCTGACATGGGAGCTGGTTCGGAGCTTGTCTGCCTGGCTGTGTGTTTCCTGGACGGGGCCGCCTGTAGAGCTGGTTGACAGTTACCTTTTGTATGTATGCTTCAATTTAATTAAACTTTTTGGTTTAAAGTGGAAAATAAAAGCAGCACTGTGTAGAAACTGCACCACAGCCTCTCCAGTAGAAGGGTTAGCATTTGCATGAACCTGAACTATCAGTGCATGCAAATGATGGGAGATATTCCCGGCTGAAAAACACTGATATGCTGTCTTTTCCTCTGTTCAACCCACTGGACTTTGTTTCCAAGTTTGAAGACGTTTCTCTTTCATCCAGGAAGCTTTTTCAATTCAAAATGTCTGAAATAGCATTGAGTTGCAGGTTTTATACAGCAGCGCAACAAAGCCTTAATTGTTTTAGTTCAGAAAACATGCAAATAAAAAGCAGATGAACGGATCCAACCCTTTGGAATGGGGGTCGCTTGGCTTCTGTATTAGCCTGCAATTCCCCATACCTGTCTATGTCTCTGAAAGGGTGGTTGTTGAAGGGAATTGTTGTCCTTGCTGAATAGGTGAGGTCTTCTGTTCCCCTGTAAAGGGGTTTGGGCTGCGATTATAGCGGGAAGGAATCAACTCTATCGCTACATTGAAGGTTTCTGAAAGCTGAAACCTGCATCCCCCCCCCCAGTTTAAGGTTGGTTTTTCTTTCTTAACATAGATGGCTTCCTTCACGCTCCTCTTAAACCACCTGTCTTCTTTGTCCAAAATGTGAACATTCTGGTCCTCCAAAGAATGGACAGAGGACATTCTTTTGTTCACAATGTTTACATTTTGGACAGAGAGGATAGGTGCGCTAGAGCACTTGCCTTTTCAGCCAGGCCCATTATTCCCTTAAACGACCCCCCTTTCAGAGACATAGACAGGTATGGGGCATTGCAGGCTAACAAAGAAGCCATATGACCCCCCACCCCCTCCCTATTTCTGACATTTTGAATTGAAAAAGCTTCCTGGATGGAAGGAGAAATGTCTTCAAACTTGGAAACAAAGTCCAGTGGATTGATTTTTTACTTTTTGAGCATTTAGTTTCAATGGTTAAAAAGTGGAATATGACGAGCAGATGAGAGCAACCAGGGAGGATCAGAACTAGTTTCACATCACTGAGTCAACAGGGAAGGATTCTCTGGAAATGAGTTCAAACAAACTGAGTGCAAAGAACAAAGAGCGAATGGTGAGAAATGAGGAGAATCAGCATAAACATGGACTGTGGCGTGACGGCACCTCTATCATTCAAGGAATCAGGCTGAATGCAAAGTGAAAGATGCAAAACAAAAAGTACACGTGCTTAAGGTTAACCCCGTCTGTTCCTAAACAGGCTTCAATAAAAGGCTCAGTTTGTCCTGGAAATGTTTGGAAACCTGGAAAAAACAACAGCTACATACTGTTGATATAGATAAGCTGGAAACCAACAGAGAAGCTGCATAGAAGCAGACAAACAGAGAATAATGGTTAGTTTGTAGAGCTTGAAAAACAAAGACAGAAAAAGAAGCAGAACTTTAGAAGCATCAGTGAAACACGTTAAAAAGCTGCCAGAAGCTGCTTTGGTTTCTGGGATGTAGGCAACGCAGATCTGAGGGTTATTGGAGTAACAGAAAATCTGCAATTTGCATTAAAACAAAACTTGACAGGTGTAAAAATGTGGGCACCAAAATCATTATATTGATCTGAATACCCTTGGCTACTTTTCAATGACTTACTAAAACACAAAGTTGGTTTGGTAACTTCATTAAGATTTGAACTTCATAGCCAGGTGTGTCCAATCAGGAGGAAATTATTTAAGTTGGCCAGTTGGAAGATGTTCTCCTGTTTGAATCTCGTGAGGCTCACTGTCTCTCAAGATTCTGCAATTTTGCAGTGATTTTCTTGCTCATTTCGGGTCTGTGCCTGCAGAACAGTTGTGCCCTTACATTGTACACCCGTTATGAGCTTTTGGATATTGTTTTACAAATTTCTGACAGTCTTGTGGAAAACCTCCAACTCCTTCCTGAGATAGCCAGAACACCCGAGTTTTCGCACTCAGCTTGGCCGGGTGGAAGTGCTCCCAGGCGCTGCGGAGATGGTAAACAAAGGCGAGGGAAGCGCGGAGGATTAAGAGCTAAGCTAAAGCTAACACCACACCGGCTCTCTTTACCCAGCATTTTCCTTGCCAATGTGCTGTCGCAGCTGAACAAAATGGAGGAGATCCAACTCATCATTACATACAGCAAGAGACTTTTGAACTGTAATGTCCTAATCTTCACGGAAACATGGTGAAACAGTGGAATACCAGACAACACTACTGAGCTAGCGAGACGCCATATATTCCGGGCGGATAGAACATCAGATGGCTCTGGTAAGACCAGAGGTGGAGGACTGTGCATTTACATTAACAAAGCTTGGTGCAAAAACTCTGCTATTGTTGAGAGACATTGCCTAGCTAACCTGGAGTTTCTGATAGTTAAATGTAGACCGTTCTATCTGTCACGGGAGTTCACTTTCACTAGTATTACTGCATCCTACATTCCCCCGGACACTGATGCTACGTCTGCTATGAAAGAACTTCACGCAGCAATCAGTAAACAACAGACCATTCACCCAGAAGCTGCGTTTATTGTCGCAAACTTTAGACCATGTTTACACAAACATGGCTGGAGCCTACGTAGCGACACCCCTCCCCCACCTTGGACAGTTGGATCACCTTTCTTTGTTCCCCGCCCCCAAATATGCACCTCTCATCAATCGTGTGAAGCCATCAGTGAAGACCATCAAGGTGTGGCCTGCGGGAGCAAATTCAACACTTCAGGAAATGTTTCTACACACAGACTGGAGTATGTTTGCTTCTCAAGCCACCAGTGGCTCTCATACGGACATTGACTGTTACGCCTCCTCTGTACTGGATTATATTATTACCACTATTGATAATGTTACAACCCAGAAGCAGATCACCACATACACAAATCAGAAGCCATGGATGAACAGGAAGGTGCGACTCCTATTGAAGACACGCAACACTGCCTTCAGATCAGGAGATGAACAAGCCTGTAGCACAGCTAGAGTAAATCTGAAAATGGGCATCAAAGAGGCCAAGTACTGCTACAAGCTTAAGATAGAGGGACATTTTTCCAACGCTGACCCTCAACGCATTAATGCCATCAGTGACTATAAACCCACTCATCCCACCTCTGCAGCCACTGATGTCAATTTCCTGAACGAGCTGAATGATTTTTATGCTCGCTTTAAAAGACACAACAGTGAAACTGCCACCAAGCAAAAATCCTCAGCCGACCACTTGGCAATCACACTCTCCTCCACAGATGTCTGCAATGCACTGAGCAGGATCAGCACGCACAAGGCAGCTGGACCAGATAACATCCCTCGACGTGTACTCAGGGCATGTACGGAGCAGCTCGCTGGGGTTTTTACAGACATTTTCAACCTGTCTTTTGCCCAAGCAGCTGTACCAACATGCTTCAAATGCACTTCCATTGTGCCAGTTCCAAAACACTCCAGCCCAACATGCCTTGAAAACTACCACCCTGTAGCACTCACACCAATCATAATGAAGTGCTTTGAGCGGCTGGTCCTGGCACACCTGAAAGACTTGGTACCATCCACATTGGACTCACACCAGTTTGCATACCGCAGCAATAGAGAGGACGCAGTTTCCATGGCACTGCACACTGTGCTCACACATCTGGACTATAAGAACACTTATGCACGCATGCTGTTTGTTGACTTTACCTCAGCATTCAACACTGTCATTCTGGCAAAGTTATAAGCCAAACTTCGAGACCTGGGCATCAACACCTCCATGTGCAACTGGATTCTTGACTTTCTGACCAACAGACCCCAGAATGTCCGATCAGGCTCCAACTGCTCCACGTCCATCACACTCAACACTGGTGTACCACAGGGCTGTGTACTAAGCCCGTTTCTCTACTCCCTCTTCACCCACGACTGCAAGCCTGTGAACATCAATGGAATAGCCTTTGAACGTGTCTCCAGTTTCAAGTTTCTGGGGACCCACATCTCAGCGGACATGTCCTGGTCAACCAACACCTCCTGCCTGGTCAAGAAGGCTCACCAGCGCCTCTTCTTCCTAAGAACACTGAGGA